GGTGCTCTCACACCATATATATACTGCATTGACCCCTGTCAGAGGCTAGGGAGCTTACCACTAGGCTTAGCAGGGCTCTCTTTTGTCACAATAGCTAAACTCAATGAATTAACATTCGTGGCACTGTCTCTCCCTAGATATCTCATCGAACCTCCGTAATTGATTCATGATGTTAGTGTATAGTGATCTATGATTTGAATTCATAAGATGTGTTTTACTCTCTCGATAAACGCCTCTACATCAATCCACGATGCAGAGAGTTAAGTATAGCGCGGCAAATTGGTTGCCTTTGTGATGTACATGTAGAAGATCAGCTGCCTAGTTAGCTTAACCTCGTTATTAGTAGAACCTCGTTGTCAGACCATCTTCGAATTAGTTAAGTAGTACTACAACAAAATGTTCATGTGCATTCCTCAGTCACCAATTGAAGATGATGCCTTCAGAATATCTTCTCTGAAGAACAAACTCATGGCCATTAAAAGTGTTTCCCACGGTAGCTTTCACTCTCTAAACATAAACAGTTGACCGTCAATCCGTTACCATCGTAAAGGAGTGTATGGTTCCTTTAACCACGTGGTACATAAGAAGGGGAATATCGAATGATACAAAAGCATCGTCTTACTCTCAACGATATATAGGACTTGAATTTCTCAAACTGCACTTGTAGGCATAGCCACCTAATGAGTGCAACAAGTTCTACATGGCGAGAGAGGTTGCCCCTACTCTTGTATCTGGCTAGTGTTTTCTGGCCGATGACTGTGACTAGTGCGTTTCCAAAAGCTGCTATTTCGGAGCTTTCTTCTTCCTTGAGCTAGACTACAGCATCCATAAGACGTCAAGACAAGGCTGTGGGCTCCTATGAAAGCGAAATGACCTTTAAAGTCTCTCCATTTTGTGTTACGAACGCAAGAGGGTATGCGAGCCCAGTGATGTGCGGTATAGAGTGAATCATCGAGGTCCAAGTAGTAATAAAGAAGATTTGTCTGAGCGTATGGCCATCTGTATATATTTCAAACCGAGCCCATTGAAAGCCTAGGTACGCGTGGCGAAGCATGGGAGATGCCACCTACAAAGCATTTCAGTTGGCTATTGCTTACTACCGTAGTGGCTTTTCATGTTTTACTATGTCTTTCAAATTTTGGGATAACTCTGCAAATGTTAGAGAGTAATTGAATAGACCCTATAATCCTTTACATTTAAGATGTATACTATGCCAGCTTAGGCAAGACAGAAGGAAACATTATCAGTCGACGACAACAGTTTTGAGGCTTCTCCTAGTTGTTTCCCTCCAGTATCTCACGCCTACAACCTCGACTCATCCTAATGTAAGCAAAGTTTAGATGAATCCGACTAGAATTACTGCCTATTTCAGACAGAATGAAGAGATGTCGTCCAATCTTTGAGAGACAACCAAATATGAGAGAATTCGTGATTCATCTAGACAGACAGAATACGCCAGTCGCTGCAGGTATTGCCGCTACGGACTTCCTGCACCGCACGGACTTGGGGTCCGTCTGTACGACGCCTTTTTCGATAACAACGGGTATTTTCTATTCTAAATGTCGCAATCCGGTGTTGCAAATACGTGACGGACTTGTCATCCGAATGTTGGCACGCAGACCTGCTCCGGCCGGGTGAGTGGATCTCACGGACATGAAACCCCGTGGCCCGTGCACTCGCCGTCCGTGTAGGAAGATGGACAGTTGAATGCTACCTTCCAGCTGGGGTATGCAACAAACCATACTCTTATTAGAATTACGCGAATATACATACGATTCTCAACTTGCAGAAAGAATATTTGATGGGCGGGGTGGTGGTCAAAACAAGACTTATTCTCTAACCGTCTAGCGCTGGTGTCAATGCCATTCCCTCTTTATTTGACACTTAGAAGTTTTATCGCCGCCTCCAGGCACCGTATTGAGTTGCTGATGACAAGAACCTCCATGGCATTTCACCGCCAGCCATCCTGGAAAGGCAAAGACTGACATGCAACTGGAGAAGTCAAATCACTAGTCTTGCATGCGTTCTGATAACGACAAGATAGAGCGCAGGTTTCGCCATCACGTACAGATATCCTTTTCGACGTTAACCCGGCCGGCCGAGCCTTGCTGTGCAGTCTGCTATGTTACCTTGAGTCTTTACTTGGTTTGTAGCCGGGCCTCGTGGCTTGGCATATAAGCTTCCGCTTGTCCTCTGCATTGGGCCTTCGACAACCACCTTCATCCCAGTAACTGCCAACCACGAAAAGGCCTTCGCTAGCCCTCTTACCTACCTATCCCACTTCAGCCAAGGAATCTTAAGTCCAACTCATGACTTCGACCATGAAGGACCCGGTCGAACAGCCCGCCGTGGGCACGGAGAATGATATTGTGGAGGAAACGAAGGTTGTCGACACTACAACGGACATGGAGCTTCAAAAGGTTGAGTCCGTAGCGGTAGGCGAAGCCACTGGTACCAATAAGATGAAGGCCATTGAGGCTGTCTGGGGAAAGCATGGAAAGCTGCTCATCATTCTTGCGTATGTCCAGTTGTGAAAATTTGGATGTAGTAGCTTTAACTGACAGTTGCTTACAGCCTATGTATCACACAAATCACCTTGTGAGTTTCGAGTAGCCTTGCCACTACATTGGTTCAAGGGCTCAACTGATGACGACAGCGAATTTGACAACACGACAATCTTTACATACTATGTATACGCTCAGTCGAGCTTCAGTAAGATCTCAAGCTTGGCAGCCTTGACCACCGCGGGGGGTCTTATCTTCTCGGTGTTCAAGCCTCTAGTTGCCAAACTGTCTGACGTTTTTGGTCGTGGCGAATGCTTCCCAGTCATCTTGGCGCTGTACCTAGTCTCATACATCATGTGCGCCAAGTCACCTAACTACGAGACGTATGCATGCGGCTACATCTTCCACTATTTTGCCCAGACAGGAATCAATACCCTGCAAGACATTATTGCGGCTGATATCTCGACTGCCCGTCAACGAGGCTTGGCAATTCAGCTTCAGTTTCTGCCCAATGTTTTCATGCCGTAAGTGTTGGCTTGAGATAGAGCTCTCATACCCCTAATTGTCCAAAGCCTAATGCTAATCTGTGTAGATTCACATCGGCTTTCGTGACATCTTCTGTCATCAATGGCATTGGTTGGCGTTGGGGGATTGGCATGTTGGCCATCATTATGCCCGTTGGTCTCGCACCCATGATCATCACTCTTCTCGGATGGCAACGGAAGGCGCGGAAGGCCGGACTTACTCAGAAGATGAAGTTGACCATCTATGACTTCTTTTCCCAAGTCGATATGGGCGGTATGATTCTTTTCTCTGGTGGACTGGCTCTTGTCCTCCTGCCCACGACACTTGCTGGTGATCTGGCCGATGGCTGGCACACTAACTGGGTCATTGCTTGCCTGGTTATTGGTGGTGTTTTCCTCGTTACCCTCCCGTTCTACGAGTACTACATGGCCAAGTTTCCTATTCTGCCAATTCATTACTTCAAGAGTCTTACCCTCGGTATGGCTTTGATTATGTACGCAATGGATGGTATGGGTCTTGGTGTTACCCACAGCTACTTTTACACCTGGCTTATCGTCGCTCGCGGATACCCAATCAAGGTTGCCGTCTGGATCAACGATGTCGCTCGTGCCGTGCAGTTCTTCACTGGTCTCTGTGTTGGTCTGACTATGTGGTACTTCAGACGCTACAAGTGGACTTGTGCAGCTGGTGTAGTATTGCGTCTCATTGGCTATGGCGTCATGTTCCGCATTCGTAACCCTTCCTCCACCACTGCAGAGCTTGTCATCGTCCAGTTCATCCAGGGAGTTGGTGCCGGTCTCGTCGGCACAGCTTGCTTTGTGGCTCTCACAGTTAACGTACCTCGACGAGAAGTGGCACAGATGACTTCAGTCGCGGTCTGCTTATCAATGCTTGGATCTACCATGGGCACGGCTATTGGTGGAGGCATTTACACGAGTCACTTCAAGAAAGAGTTGTACAGCTCACTTGGCGACATGGCCACACCAGCATTGGTCAACTCTGTTGTCAACTCTATCACCAAGGGCCTCCCGGCTATGGGAACTCCTCAAAGACATGCTATTGCGTTGGCCGTAAGATTCAGTGACCCCTATCTGCCATCAATTCACACGTTTCTGACTTTATGGAACAGTACAACAAAATTCTCGCATATTTCACGTATGTGGCTTTTGGAGCAGTTGTTCCCTCGATCATTTGTGCTTGGTATCTTCCCGACAAAGTCCTGACGTATGTGCTTCTTCAATGCAAATCCCAAATATACAACGGAACTGACCCTCTCGACAGTGATGCCCACAACCTTGTCGAAGATGACGAGCCACTGACCACAACTGTTGGGACTAACACCCATGAAGAGACTGAGAGGAAGTAAATGAAAATACGGGATAACGGACAAGACAATAGGTCTAGAAAATATCTGGAGAAGGAGATGCCGAGGATCTCAAGCAACAATGATAGCTGTGTTGTCCAATATAGCCAAATGCAATACACTATGTACCTGGTAATCACTCAGGTCTTACTGCGTCCAGCCCCGTGTCACCATTGCCCATTGCCGTTGCGCCACCAAGAAAATCCATGTCCAGACCAGCCAGAATATCATCGCCCACAGCAGCCCAGTACTCCGTCTCGCCGTCCATCACGCTCATAGGATCCCACACGTATTGTTCCGGACTCTCGAAATCGATCGCTTGAGCTGCACCGCCCAAAGCGTGAAATTCAGGGGTGACGACCGCAGGCTCAGGAGCCGGGTGTACGATTGGGTTGTGTTTCGTCTCGCTTATCGTCGGCCCCCGCTGTTGTCTTATCCTCAGCACATCCCTGAATTTGGCCCTTATCTTCCCCGCTAGCGCCCACGACACCGACATCTCCTGCAGCATGGTGTCGAGCACGGGTAGATAGGTATCCTTCACTAAAGGCGGTGGATTGCCCAAATGTCGTGATGTGATAAGGACAGAGTTGGCGGCAACAATTGCGCCATGGACAAAGATGAATGGTGCGTTCCCGAGGGTGTATTGCGTCTTGTAACGCTGTATGATGGCTACGATTGCCTCAGTCGAAGACGTGCAAACTTGGAACAGCTCCTCAAATTGCTTGGGTACGCCATCGGTATTCTGCTTGGATATTGATGTGATGAAAGGTAGGTTAAGACATATACGTGTACTGTGATACAACGTGCTGAGAGGAATTGTTAGGGCGGAGGTGACCTTAGCTGGATATAGATTGCACTTACTGCAGAACAGCCACGTTAGGATACAATACATCCTTATTTGTGAACCACTTCTTTAACCTCATGTCCAGTGGCAAGGCCTCATGCCAGGATATTAGCCTAGCATTCAGCTTGTTCACGGAGACCTCGGTCCACCTTCTCGTCTTCGGCTTCTTCTCCTTTCTTGGAGTGAACGTATTAGAAAGCATGTCATGTATGATACGCCCAAGCTCGACTTGTTGATTGAATAACAGTGTGAGCTTAGGGCCGACATGGTTGATGCTTTTGAGAAAACTGAGATTATGCGAGTCTAGCCAGTGCTCCCACATTGTACGATCAATGCTAAACTCTCTTATCAGTAGCTGTCAAAGGACGCACGTAAAGCGGTCACATACGGTAGAGGCTCGCTGACGTCGACATCAGCATCGTTCTCATGTATAAAGGTTGGCCGTCCTAAAAATAGGCTGAAGACTCTTTAAAAGTTTTAGCAACATGATCATACGCTGTGAGAGTGGTTAGTGAAGACGTACTTATCTGATAAGAAGCATCCCCAATAGAGTCTTCGTCTGAATTCATTGTCAAAGAGCGGGGGTATCATCTGGTTGGTACGCTTCCAATGAGTCGGATCTCGTTGGAAACCAAGATCTTGTCCCATCCTGAAAGCCATCCCTAGAGTATTCTGTGAGATTTCCATTCGGAAGGCTGAGGTAAAGAATTTCGAGAGTTACCTGAGTACAACCACCCTTTCGACAAATTACCCCGTCCAACCTCATAATACGCACAAGCCAACAAAGCCTGTACCGATGCAATGCGAGGTGTTCCCAGGCACCGTGATGTGAGAATAGACTCAGCTGATTCCGCAAAGCTAGCGGATGTTGCCCTTATCTCTGGGTCTTGAGACATCAAAGCGCCGATGGCAGCAACGATGTATATGAGAGGTAAAGAGCAAAACTCCCCGTCTATGGGGTTCGTATCAAACTCTCGAATGAAGGCTTCACAGTCAATAAACATAAACTGTGGATATTGCCAAAGAAAGAAGAAGGCGATTGATAAGCATATAGTTGGGTTATAGAGACTGCTCGTGTCTTCAGCAGTCACCATAGGGGCTGTAGTAGAGCCTAAAGTGCCTGGTGGCTCTGCGAGCTCAGTGGTGAATATACTAGTAGGGCCGTGGTATATCATAGATCCTGTTTCAGTGTGAGTTTATCATTATCAAGACAGGGACCTCAAGAAGGAGTTGCGCATTACCTTCTGTAGTCTCTTGAAGTGAAGCTTTGGCCAGAACCTCACTGAGGACTGTGTCTTCATCCAGTACCTTAGCCTCATATTGAGGAAGATGGTCTTGGAAGGCTATCTCGTCAAGCAACGCAGTGCGCTCCTCGTTTGATGAGTCTTTGAGCCGCACGAGGAGGCTCTCAAGCGAAGATATGCGCAGCTCGAGCGCGTCGACATACTCGCGAGACACGGGGGCCCGCTTGTAGTCATTATCGCGGAATTCACACTTTGCCTTGGCTACGGAGCAGTTGACACACGGGTTGGTGCGCGAACACCGGATCTGGAGAGTGTGTCAGCGCCGCCGCACGGCTACAGGCGGGTGTTGGATGCGCGATAGAGGGGCAGTCAGTAGTACCTTTCTCTGCTGGCACCGCTTGCACCTATTCACGAGTCAGTACTCCCGCGTCGTCGTCTCCAGGGTAGTTCATCTCACGATATACGCTTCAGCGGGGGGTTCTCCATGTCTGCATGGTTCTCTGAAGGGGGCGCGAGGGCGTGTGACCGGGCGAGGACCAGGAGCAGGACTGATGAGGTTCGGGATGGGTGGAAGTGGGACAGTCAATCGATCACTGTCGTTTGACGATAGGGCAGGTAACATTAGAGCAAAAGGCCCGCTGGCGGGATTCTGTCCATCCCTTTATGGGCGTAGTGGTGCTGTTAGGTTTGTATCAACTACTCCACCTCCCCCGCCACTTTGCCCTCTCTTCACAGGCACAAGTACTTGACATCCCATCACATGCAATGCACCTCTAGCCCTATCCCTCTGGGCCTCGCTAGTACTAAATCTAGATCTTACGGCACAGTCGATAGTGAGTAAATCTTGGAAATCTTTATCTTGATGCATTTCGGACGACTATCGTGTTGTTCTCATTCTGAGTTGTTGGCGACTCTCTCAATTGCCAACTGGGATTGACCTCTTTTTCCAAAGGAATGCACCGCCTACCTGGTTCATCCAATCAGGCGCACCGAACCGGCGCCGAGCTTGCACCAAGTCAGGAAGTCTAGATCCGTGCACTTGCTCGATTCATGTTTGCCGGTGTATGTCTTATCAGCAGTCTAGACTTCCCACAGCAGATCATTAGACAGCTTCTTAATACGGCCAGCTCACAAGCACAGCAAGTATTGCTGTCGTACTTCATACCGCTAGACTTTTAAGGCCACAGCGATGAAGACCCCCCCAATTGCTGTTTGATTAACACAATGTCTGCCGATGTTCTTTCTGAACTTCTGGTTGTAATTCGGCTGCCGTCTAGTCCTGTTGCTTCTTCTGGTAGCACTCTTATTAGAACACATTTCGAGCAAGCGTCCTCAACTATGGAGAGCTGGCCACAATCAAATTGATTGCTTGCTTGGCAAAATCTGCGAAGTCTTCACGAGAGTGACATGCTTGCTCTCCACTATGGCCGGCGAGTTGCACGCAGCAAGCAAATCAACGTCTATGTTGAAAGCAAATTAAAGGAGATGGAAAATGACGATGACTTCTCTGATCTCGACCCACTCCTTGACATGGATAAGAAGCACGCGCTCGTTAAGTGTGTACTTTTCAATCAGGCTTTTATCGTACAACCATCTACAGTATCTGATCAGCTGCAGGACCATTGCTTCTGATATATATGACATCAGTAGCCGGCGATCTACAGACTAGTTCAAAATAAAGCCTCTAAAAAGTCGCTTGCAGGTTTCGACTGAGCATCGCTCAGACAGAATGAGTTCAGATACGGCTGTATCTGCTTTAGATCATGCTACCGCACATCACCAGCAACAAGTCTATCCAGCAGTGAATGAAACTCACCATAGAGCATTTGATTCTCTCCTAAACGAGGAGCAAGCTCAAGGTACCCATGTCGAGGAAGTCATTAGCAATCTTTTCACCTCACTGCCTCGCCGTGGTAAAGGCATATATAAATGCCCTCATCTTGACAAATTTAAAAAGGGTGGCGTTGGATCCGACGAAATCGTCTTGACGTTTGATAGAAATTCAGCTTTCAGGTAAGTCTGCTCCAAGTCTGGTGATAAACGGGGTAATAAATAGTCTTTGCTGACCGATGCTCTTGAAGCTCATCTTCAGAAACATGTGAGACTTTACTTCTGCACCTTGCCCGGTTGCAAAACAAGAAGGGATTTGCTCGCGTTGACATGTTACTACGGCATCAACAGACTATTGCTCATCGTGAGCCTGTCGACGCGAGAACGTAGCCTCCTAACTATGAGACCTCAAATACGTTCGCAGTTTTTTCAAAAACTAGGAGATTGATCAATTCTTCTCACCAAGTTCCAGGCAGCTCAATTTGGAGTCAAGGAAGTCGCCCTCTCTCAAGAGAGTATGCAATTGCGCATTTGGCTTAAGTGATGCAGGTAGATCCACCGTGTGACATGAAACCCACCGAGTCCACTGGTCTAGTCAACTCTTGGCGGGTTGACCCCATGGAATCTCGAGATGCCGATAAAAGGAGAAGAAAAAAAGAAGAAAGCGAAAGGCAACAACTAGACTAATGTGGAGCAGCTTGAAGCTCCCCTCTTTCTCACACTTTCGGAGCAGCACCCCGTCAGCTAATGACACTAGCGCCGTAATGCTTCCGCTTAGCCATCTGTATATAAGTGATGATTCTGCCGCCAGTTGTAAATAATACAAGTACTTTTGTAACGAGGATCAGGGTTTCAGTGCACTGTTGATGATGTCTTCTAAGACTTATATCATTGTTGGTGCCGGTGCGTTCGGGGCTTCAACAGCTCTTGAACTGAAGCGAACCGATCCATCAGCAGAGGTGTTGCTGCTGGACGGCGGTAACCAACCCAACACATTTTCCGCCTCGCACGATGTGAACAAAATCATCCGATCAGACTACGGCAACATATTTTACATGAAGCTATCCCTAGATGCGCAAGAACGCTGGAGGAACGACCCCATATACAAAGCATATTACCATCAACCAGGCATGCTGTACGCAGTCGGATTTGACTTGGGGAAGACTTACATCGACAACTACGAGAAGCTAGGCGCCGAACATGCGTCCGAGTTCCTTGGACCAGAGGAGGCTCGAACGCGATTCTCTGGAATTTTCAGGGATGCGAACTGGACCGATGTCAAAGAGAACTACTTCAACCCTCGAAGTGGGTGGGGCGAAGCTACTGGTGCTCTAACAAGCTTGATCAAAGCCGCTGTGGATGAGGGTGTCAAGTTTAGAACTGTGACAGTTTCAAAACTCCTGTTCAGTAACTCCAATGACTGTGTTGGAGTTTCACTTGAGGGCCGAGAGGAGCTCCGCGCAGATAATGTTCTCTTGTCAGTCGGCGCATGGACACCACTCCTCCTGGCCAACAGTGCCCCGGACAATCAGCTCCTGCAGGCAGGCGACAGAATGGTTGCTGCTGCCGCTCTCCAGTGTACCGCGAAGTATCCTCCTGAAGAAGCAGAGAAATTCAAAGATGCTCCCGTGATTGTCAACACAATGCCTCACACTAACGGTAAGTCCCTGAGTGAAATTATTATAAAAGAACACCTCTAATCACTTTTAATCAGGAGAGTGCATCCCTCCGACGAAAGAGAACAGGCTCAAGTTCAACCTTGAAGTCACTTTCACAAACAAGTCCTATCACGAAGCATCGAAGCAGACGATCTCCGCCCCACCGAAACCAACGGCCGATAACGCTTGGGGTCAGGCCGTTCCTCAGAGTCTCAAGGACGAAATAGCAACTGTTGTGAAGAATACGTATGGTAGTTGGGTGAAGGGGTTGGAAATTGAGAGTTATAGGATGTGCTGGCAAGTTTATCCTCTGATTCGCTGTGACACATACAATTGTTAACATCGATGGTAGGGACGCGATCACACCCAACCAAGATTTCATCATCACTCCACACCCACACTCCAAGGGGCTTTACATCGCCACAGGAGGCTCTTTCCACAGCTGGAAGTTTATGCCTATCATCGGTGAGTATGTTGTGAAGATGATGCAGGGGACACTACCAGCCGACATCGCAAGTCGCTGGGCATGGGATCGCTCCAGCGAGGGGAGTGCTCTGAAGGAGTACCTTCCAAAGCGCGACCTCAAGGACATCAAGTAAACTTACCAAAACTTATTGCGGAGCCTGGGAGCGATCAAGTTCGCAAAGCATTCAGCAAATTCCAAGCTGTCTCGTTCAGATCATTGGTCATCAGGATTAGTATTGACTGCGAATCATTTTGAAGTACTGAATTAGATATTCGCTGCTAGCATTGTGTGAATTGTCGTGCATCTAGAATGCTTATGGGTGGTCCACGTCAGAGTCTGTGTCATACCACTCTCCAGGAACTTGCAGTGAAGGGGTTTCAATGAGTTTCCAAAATTGTCCAGCAAACTGGTCTGTTGGCTCATCCCACAAAACAGCCCAATCGTCAATCGTTGGACCATATTTGAACCCTCGCAATTCCTGATGAATCCACACGTCCCAAATCGTGCGCACAGTGAATCGAGGGTACACCCTATGGCAAGCTGAAGACCAGAAGTGCCTGGTTTTATCTGATCCGTGCAAAATTGCATTTTCTCGAGCTCCGTACGCACCTAGGTCAACACCAGCTGTTTGCAGTAACTGAAGCCATTTCCGAAGTCCCCGAGTTATAAATCGTGTATGAGTCGAGCTCTCAGTCCGGGCGGACATAGAAATCTCCCATAGAAGAGCGACGAGTGGTGTTGCGAGCCAAACGTTCCAATATTTTGCCAGTCTATGGACATCAGATCTTCCAATTACTTCATGTGCAAACTCATCCCAATCCGACAGGAAGTTCAAACCCATCGGTGCGAACGTGTATGTTGTCAACGCTGCGATGTTTCTCGAAACAGTGTGTATTAGTGGAAAACCGGTCTTGTGAGTACACACCGCGTCTGGGTCAGTGCTCCAATCTGGTTCGAGCACAAACTTATGCCGTTCCACATGTCCCTCGCGTAGTTGATTTGCCCTCAGTAGACGAGACTCAAGGGTGGTTTCCGCATGAAATGGGCAGTATAATGGTTGCAAACATCGAAATACCTCCCATATTCTTGTTATGGGGCAACAACATTGTCTCCTTATAATGCTGATATCGACTTCTGGAACAAATCTATGGCTGATCAGGAGACGGCTAAACTCCAAAGTTCGATTGGTATCTGTTTGGACGCGTGAATGGTTGAGAACATCCGCCACAGTACTATGCGTTATGGTATATTAGCGACGTTGAACGATATGATGAGGTGATACCTCAAGGGCTTCTTACGCTCCATTATGGTTCCTTTCATCCCCATCCGCTTTGCTTCCCAAGTGAATGAGTAGTTCAAAGGTTCCAGGGGCTCCGCCAAATGCTGCTTCCTATAAGTTTGTTGTTATTAGCGCATGTCATATTGATTGCGCCTCAATATACATTGAATCTTACGTGTAATAATGTGTTTCCTGAATTAGAAACATCATATGGAGATGCCTCTCCAGAGGCGAACATGTCTCGTAAGCTAGCCACATCATCGCGCTTTGCTGCTTTAAATACTGGATGGCTCCATGGCCTGACCGGAAAATATCGAAAGTTCATTTTCCAGCCAGTGTAAGATCTGTTCAGTTGTAGCGACCATGCATACATCACCCCAGCAAGCCACCACGGAGGACGGGCCTGTGCCGAGACTCCTTGCGAGGTTGTCTGCACTGCAATTGAGCCAAGGGTCGATAGTCCTACTAGTCGCTGATGCCTATTGATCTGCCGAGGCTGAGCTTTCTGTATGATGTCTCGCGTCTCATTTGCAAAGTCTTCGGTATTGCCGCGCTGCTCAGCCTTAGCCTGTTCCAAAGTTGGGGCTTCGTCGGCCTTATTAAGCCGTCGTAAGATGTTTGCTGCAATCATCTCAGGTTGTTGTTTCACAAGTGCTCTGCAACTAGTTAGCAATGCACCAAAGTACAAGTAGGAAACTCACATTGTATAGCCTTGCTGTGCACACTGCAACATTCGGATAGCTGTCTCCAGCCGTCTCTCCAAGTCACTCATTACACCTCTCTTTAGCACAGCCTTGACACGGGCGACAGTCCTTTGCACACGCTTGGTGGAGTTAATTTGAGCCGATAGCTCATCCGCCATATCTGTCAACTGCTTGAGAGCCTTGCGACAGTAAAGCGCACTTTTCGTCGCTGCAGAGCTTTTCCATAAGTCCGAGGGGATCTCGTTCGTGCTCATGTTCTGCTCGAGTTCCCAAAGCGCCGGATCAAAACACTCAATCTGCTCCATCAAGTCCTCGACGCTCCGGGGAACATCTCGAACTTCGTCCAGGAGTCGCCTTAGCCGCAGAATAGCGATACCTGTGGTAGTGGCAACTTGACCGATTGCAATACCGCTTGCGATTGCACCGAGGACCTCGGCCATGTTGATGGAGATCAGAATCCGTCTAGTGAGAAAGACGACATATCATCTCTGTCAAATTGCCACACGATCGTGGAGTTGTGGTTCATGATTAGATGCCTAACCCCTCGCTCGAGGCCGCCAACGACATAGCCGCGCTGCGTCTTACCTGCTTTAGGGTGGCCTTTTTCATTGGCCACATCATTGCAACGTTGTTGACCCCCTCACAGCCACTGATCCGCATGACGCCTGCAGATGCACGCTTCTCGCATGTAAAACTGAAGAGAAGGCAGTGATGAGACAGAATTATGAAGCAAGGTTGCGAGTGACAGGAATTGCTTGCAAAAGGTATCTATTTGGCACGCATCTATTAGAGACATTATATAATCCAGTGCTTTAACCCCAAGTACCACCCCCTCCACCGGATCTACCAACGCGCTTCTGTGCACTCAATCTCCAATCGTCCTCGCCTGCATACTTGTTATACAACGGCTGGATCCTTTCCGCTTGTTTTCTCTTGGACAATCGATCTGTAGGTGCAACTTTGAAGAATGTAGGCGCCGCTTCGACCAGCCACTTTGGCTCTATGACCGTGACGGTGCTCAGGTACTCCTTGCTCGTCAGGACCAAGTTGTGGTAGATGACCCATTCGGCCTGCTTTCCAAACAGTGCGCTGGAAGGGTGCATGTACACCGGTGTGCCTTCGATGAGAGTCTTGTAGCCTTCCTGGGGATCTTTCCTGGCTGAGTTCCGGAAAAAGCCCGAGCAGAGTGCTCGACGCACCTTCTGGGTGTCTTTGCCGCAGGAGACGATAGGATGCTTGTATCGGTCCATGATCTTGACGAGCTGGTCCCGGACGTCCTTCGCACGACGCATCGACCGCGCCTGGATGAAATTCTCAAAACACCACGGTGATGAGTATGCTGCCTGCTTCCACCCGTTGTAGACAGCAAGTAGCGTAAGGTGATCTCCCGTGGAGTCAAAAAACTTCGCCCTCTTCTGATCTGCCTGAGCCTGCTTCTCCTTTGGTCGGTAGAAGACGTTTGGCAAACTCAGCATGGCAACGATGGAGAGGATCTCGTCAGAGCAGCGCATATCAACAGACGCGATCAACACCTTGGCCAGGGAAGGCTCCATTGGGAAGTCTGCCATTTTCCTACCCAGCCGGGTAAGCAATCCCTCGTCATCTAGCGCAGATAATGCGTATAGCTCCTCGAGGGCTGTGAGCAAGGTATTGATAGGAGGTGGGTCCATAAAGTCAAAATGGATCAGGTCATTAATGCCCATTCCCTTCAACAGCAGCACCGTGAGCGCTAAGTTCTGGCGTTGGATTTCTGGAATAGTTGTCGGCAACATCTCTGTCTGATAGGCAGCCTCGGTATACAAGCGGAAACACTTTCCTGGTCCGGTTCGGCCAGCACGGCCAGCTCTTTGGTTGGCCTGAGCTTGTGAGATCGGAGTTACCACGAGTGAGTCCATTCCAAGCTTGGGGTCGTAAGCGTTCTGTTTGTGGAAACCGGGATCGACAACATAGTAAATGCCATCCACTGTGATTGAAGTCTCGGCAATGTTTGTTGCGATGACGACCTTTCTGCTTCCAGGAGGTGCGGGATCAAAGATCCTGGACTGCATCTCACTCGGCAGAGCCGAATAGATCGGTAGGATGATAAGGTCTGGAACATTAGGTCCTAAAGCCTTCATACGCTCGTACAGAACCTCGCATGCAGTATCAATCTCTTCTTGACCAGTCAAGAAGACAAGGATATCTCCCATCGGCTCTGTCAAGTGAATTTGCATGACCGTAACCAGCGCTGCATCCAAGTAATCCGACTCGGGCTCTTTGCTGTAAAGAATCTCGACGGGGAAAGTACGACCCGGGATCGTGAAGATCGGGCATTCGTTGAAGTACGCAGAGAACTTGTCCGCGTCAAGTGTGGCCGAGGTGACGATAATCTTCAGATCAGGGCGCCTCTTTGCAGTCTTCTTCAAAAGCGCAAAGAGAACATCTGTCGCGAGCGTCCTTTCGTGGGCCTCATCAAGAATAATGACAGAATATCTCTTCAAGTCGGGATCTATCAGAATCTCTCTTTGAAGCATACCGTCAGTCATGTACTTGATGACAGTCTTGGGACTAGTGTTGTCCTCGAAACGGATAGTGTAACCAACTTCTTCACCCAGTTGACAACCCACTTCTTCAGCAACACGTTTGGCGACAGACATGGCTGCTACACGACGTGGCTGTGTGCAGCCAATCATGCCGTTGTTTGTGAAGCCGGCTTCTGCGAGATATTGTGTGAGCTGAGTAGTCTTGCCAGAGCCAGTTTCACCAACAACAATCATAAACTGATTGTCTCTCACAGCTGAGATGAGCTGGCTTCGAAAGGCATAGACAGGCAAGGACTCTCTTTGCTGCTTGATTGTCATGTTTGTTCGCTTTCCCAGAGGTTGATCCTTTGGTGCAATGACTCTCCGCCATTCCGGTACTTCGTCGGTCTTTGCTTTCATATGAGCTTGCTTCAGATCGCTAGCAAATCTCCGCTTATCAGGATCAGCCATGGGATCCTGCCACTGCGCTGACAGATCAGGTTTCGTTTCTTGTTCCTTAGCCGCGTCGGCCTCCTGTTGTTTAATTTCCTTCCGTTCCTTCACGAGGTTTGTTCCAGCCATTGCAGCCCTATTCATGCTGCCGTCTGGAGCACGGGTGATTCTGATGGGTGAGAGCTCCAGTGATTGCTTTGTTTGACCAGCAAGAAAAGGCGGTTCTTCCTCTCGGATCTCGATGTCGACATCTTCTTCCAACTCCAATTGTCCCTCGCCCGTGAGAGTAGCATTGTAATCTTCCTCGAGATCGGGGTAATCCGACGCTTTTGCAACCCCAGATGCAATCAACTGTCGGATTTCCCATCGTTCTGGGGACGTCATACGCTTCTTCTGCCGCCTGTTCTGGCTGGGGTTGTTTTGAAGCGCTGCAGATCGAATGCCATCGTTCAGGCCGTTTCCGTTTCCGTGTCCGTTTCTACCACCCAATGCTTCCATATTTGCACCAGATTGTATTCGCGCTTGGGGAGCGAGATCCTCGCCAGTGACTTGGTCAACCTCCTTCATGGACAGGCCTATCCTGTTGCCTTCCATTTTGACAACCTTGACCTTCACATTCTGACCTCTTGTCAATAGATCCGACGGGTGATTAACCCTCTGACCTTCGACCAGCGCCGACACGTGTACTAGCCCATCCACCTTGCCCTTGATTCCATGGAGGTTGACGAAGGCGCCAAAATCTTTGATTCCTGTGACATGTCCGTCGTAGACCTTGAACAACTTGGGGGAGTCATCCATTTCCGGGGTCGGCGGCCGGCGTAACTCATTATCCTCGTCCTCATCATCAAAGTAATCTCTTCTTGTCCGCCTCTCCTTTCGACCCTTGCTCTTCGAGTAGTCGCCATTGCTATAATCGTCCTTGCGCTTGGAATACCCATCCCGATCCCGGAGGTAATCGTCTTCGGCATGATCCCGTTCCCGATAACGATCCTTCCGCCTGCGCCTTCTCGCATCTTCATCGTCCTCTGGACTCCTGCTGCGCTTTCGGTTTGCGCCATTCTTTTCCCGCTTCGCCTTGCCCTCCAAACCTTCTAAAAGCGCTAGCGTATCATCGATTGCGTCTCCGGCGCCGTTGTCGTAGGCGGGCTCCTTGTCAGGAATAGCCAGGCCTTTGAAGACATTGGCCTTCTCTTCCGCTGACGGCTCCTGCCTGTCCCCGTTCTGTGGCTGGCCCTTGAACTTCGGATGCAGGGATAGAACAAGGCGGTCTATACTCTCGATCAAACTCTGAGGTAGTTCGGCGATAGAGGAGAGCCTTGTCTTGAACTCGTCAACATTGCCGCACTCGACCCGCTGGGCAATGATGAATTCGGCAAGGGTCTTGTCGCTAATGTGGAGATGGTTCTGCAGTTCCGAGGTGACCTTCGACACTAGGGACAGCAGCTCGAGCGACTCTAGATCATCCATGGCTGTTGGAGTGGCTCGCTGAGGCAGCGAAAGCCAGGATGCAGAGAGGGATGATCAAGGAGCAATGCTGCGCCTCGGAGTGTACGAGGACACTCAATGGGGATGATGGTCCTATAAGCACAACACCATGTAGTATAGCATTAGGCCCGCAACTTGGTTCGATAGGGTGCTAAGGAGGTTCCCGTGAGTGAGGATTGTGAAGAATATGCCTGGTTATGTCATTCAAGAATTTGCCCTACGGAGTAATCGTCGCTATATGAAGGCTTGTCGCGACCTAGAAATTTGGAAGGAGCGGAAAAACAAACTCCGATGGGTCTTTTCACCGAGACTTCACCTTGTCCCACCCTCATACCTCACACCTGCACTGAGCAAAGTGCCCCGCCATCCCCCCCTCCAGCATTCTTAGCACATCTATAGTGCCTGACAAGCACCTGAGGCCCTAAGGCAGGTGCTGAACAGGGGAGGAGCCCGCCGCAGGCCGCAGGCCGCAGCACCAGCGTGGTGAAATGCAAAGACTGGCTGCGTAGTCCCACATTACGCAAGCACCTCTCAGGCCCTGCATTGGCAGGTCGCCACCGAACACCCGCTAACTCGTTAATGGAACACCGTACCAAGTTCATGACTATGACTGACTGAAGAGCGTGCGTGACCTGGCTGGCTTTTGCACCCATCACTCCATTCCATTCGCCTAAATCCTCCCTACTACCGAACCCGTTACCTATCTACATTCGCTGCCTTGAAGGCATTCACTTCCTTAAACATCCATTTCTCTTGCAACCACCTCGACCACCACCATTTACTCACCGGAGTCGAATAGTCTCTCTTCGTCTCTTCTCTGCCTCGACATCATCATCACCATCACCATCGTCACCATGTGCTCCGCCGACATCTTCCTCGGCCTCCTGGCCCTCCTATTCCCACCCTTGCCTGGTATGTCCACCAAAACCCCGCAATCCATCGACCACCACGGCTCTTTGTCTAGGTGCCTGATGTGAAGCGCAATGGATCGGTCGCGATCGCCTCATGAGTCCCCAATGCTAACAAACCTCTTCTTCTCAGTCTGGGTCAAGTGCGGCATCTGCTCCGCCGACTCCTTTATCAATATCCTCCTCTGCGTCCTCGGCTACGTATGGCCCCCTTCCCAGCCTCTCCGGCTTCCGCTCAGCACCCATTCTTCTCACTAACATAACTGCCATCCACAGATCCCAGGCCTCATCCACGCGTGGTACATCATCGCCAAGTACCCCGAGCCCGGCTCCGACTACGACACCCTGCCCCAGTCCGAGAGCGAGGCCGGCCGCGTGACCTATGTCATCATCCACGAGGACGGCCGCCGCTCCTACCGCAGCCAGCCCGCCAACGCCGCCCAGCCCAAGCCCCAGCAGCAGAACGGCATGAGCTACGGCACCGCCGGCGCCAACGGCTCCTCGGCCTCTGCGCCGGCTCCGGCTCCGGCACCCGCTGCGGCGGCGACTCACAATGCCGGCGAGGGCAGCAGCGACGGCGCGCCGCCGCCGAGCTACGCGCAGGTCGTGGCTGGGGACCACAAGGTGCAGAGCCAGGAGTAGACGGGTCTACATTAGAAATGAAGCCGGACGGCGACATGCCGGACGGTGCGATGGCCGGAGATGAATACTAGACGGCTTCGTACTGCGGTAATTATAGTTATAGGGCTCGATTGGGTGGATAATCGGGCTGGGCCTGGAGCAGGACCTCAACTTCCATTTCCCTCATTTCTATCACGCTGATTTATGTCCGGGGGCGTTTCGGAACTTGTAGGGTGCTCAAGAAATGTATGTATCTATTGGATGGGCGGGTGTACGACTGCATTGTATTAGAACCGGCGCGAGCATGCTATATATTGACTACCTTTTGATCCAAGCAAACAGCGTTATGGCCTCTTACCGTGACTGTGACTTGTGATAGCGCTGAGAAGGCATGTCATATTCTCTGGTCAGATGAAGTCGGAGGATTAGTGAGAACCCATATCGGTCATGAAATCGGTCATAAATTCACAAAGCAGAACGGACGTAGTAAGTGTATCTAGAGTTTATAACGCCGTTTATTGATGCAAATCCAGCAATGATACGCCGAAATCCCATAAGGTTAGAATCAAGTGGTAATGTACAGAATTCGAATGGGGGGGTATTGAAGAGAAGAAAAAAACTGTCTCTGTCATAAGACGCCCTTGCGATGCGTCGTTCGTTTCCTCATGACTTTTGTCGATCATAGCAATGCTGCCTGCGTAGAAGTCTTCTCTCTTTACTCCTGTCATGACATGATGGATGACGGATGATGGATATCTCTCTCAAGCAAAGGTCGCTCCCTCTGTCTTATCCGATCATGATGCTTTCAAAAAAAAAAAGATAAAACGCCTAGGCCAACTGGGGTCCCGTCGTGGCCCACAATATATGCTCTTTGCTACTCCGCGTTCGTATCCCCGACACCGCACCGCTCATTGCGCGAGCTCGTCGAAGATGCGGACCAGACTCCGCACGCCGGTCAGCGCGTTCTCGTCGGGGCCCTGGCCGGGGGTCCACTGCGCGTGGGCAAAGTCTATCAGCTTTAACGTATAGATGCGGGGCTCGTCCTTGATGTCGTCGTCGTCGTCCCCGGATTCTTCTTCGCCTGGAAGAATTAGCTCGCCGTCGTCGCCCATGTCGATCCCGCTGTCGACGCGGAGCGCAGACCGACCGGGGATGTGGTTCTCGCCGCCCTTGTCCTTCGACGCCGCCGCGCTGGCGCTCATCTCGTCGACGGCGGCCCGCAGCGCGGCGCCGTCGCCCTCAAACACGAACAGCAGGCTGGCCGAGTACATGCGGCTCTCCTCGCGCTCGAGCACGTCGCGCACCGCCTCCAGGTCCCGCTTGAAGGCGTCCGCGACGGCCTTGCCGATCTCCTCGTCGATGCCCGCCGTCGGGTTGAAGACGAACTTGCGGAAGGCCTCGACGATGTTGCCCGTGTTGACCTCCGTGCGGCCGTAGTCCTTGTCGTAGATCCTGTAGTCCTCGCGGTCGAGCTCCGCCGGGTTCTCCGAGCCCCTGTAGACGCGCATGCCCGCTATCCGGAAGCCCAGGTCCCGGTGTGTCGTCTCCCCGCTGATCTTGTCGAACCGCTGCTTCTTTTCCAGCGGCGCGTCGTCTGCCCATAATCGGATGCCGAGCTTCACGTCCATGATGTTGGGGTTCTTGAAGCCGTACGCGGCGTTTTCCAGCACCAGCGCCGTGTCCGTCACAATCTTCTTGCTCTTATTCGGGTTCCAGATGATATTCTCGGGTGTGGTCTCTGGCGGGCCCTGCAGCGCGGCCTCATGAGCCTTGCCCGCCATCATCTCGACAACCTGCTCCTTCATGTCCTGGCTGATGTGGTCCGCGATGACGGGTAATTGCTCGTCTATCGAGGTCACGTCCGTGGCGTCGTTGAGCATCAGACTGCCCATGTACACGGGCATCAGGTCCGCGAAGCGCGGGTGCTCTGCCATTGCTGACTGGTAGAAGTCGATCTCCGGCTGTGTGCAGGGCTTGATGAAGAGCTCGCCATCGGGGTCGCAGAGCGTTCCGGCACTGGTGAAAGAATTAGTTTTTTTTTGTCTGTTGATCCGGTGGTCGGGCGTTGTGTTTCGTAAACTTACTGGCCGGCGACCGCGTAGTTGTAGTCGACGAGATCGGCGCGATTGGGGACCGGTTTAGGCCCCATCATCTTGCTTGCTTGCTTCCTTGCCTGCTTCGGTTTGCTTGTGCTCAGGACAGAAGCGAGCTAGCAGAGAGGGAATGTGAGGGAAGAAGAATGGGGAGAGGTTGAGAGCGGCGCATCCAGGGGGATCTACCGTCGGAGAGTGTCAAGGGTTGGGGTAGTAGTAGTAGAGTTCGGTGAAAGACTGGCATGGGCTGTGGGTGTGGGCTAGGTACACTGTAAGAGGGCGGGCGAAAGTCCAAAACTCTAAGTGACTAAGTTCCGTGGAGGCTAATTTACACGGGGCATGCTACCAGGTAGAGTTGCACTTTTGTACTCTCTGTAACATGTAGCAGCCCAAAATTATAATGAGAGAAATAGAAGAATGAATGGAAGGAGGAGAAAGGTAGGACGAGAAAGGATTACGCAAGAGGGCAAAAGTGAGGGTTTAAGACGGAGCAGAAACTGCGGAAACAGCGCAAGCCATGCCATGCGAAATGCTGTCTGACATCCATTAACATTATAGGTTGGTCCCTTGTTCCCTTGGGCTTCTACACAGCAGCAAGGTACCTAATTCCAGTCCGACGGCGCATGCGGTTGGGTCGCCTTCTACTTACGTACTCCCGGTCTGTACTGTGCTGCGGATTCGCATCCCTCATACATGGTAGCGGTGCGCGGTTGGCAGTGTGCGAGTTAGTCGGTTAGGAACAAGTGAATCCCATCGCACATAGAAGCCAAGTGCAAAAATACTTGCACTTCCTACATGCATGAGCCAAGTACCCTTCGCACCTGTAGGCATTTTCTTAGGCAGTCTCTACGGATCGCTAGTGGATCATTGCTGCGAAAGCAGGTCGACAGTCGCTGAATGACAAGGGGCCCAGAAGGTCCCCTGCAGGCTGGGGACGAATCAAAGACGGCTTTGATACAGCAGAGTACTGCATAGTACAGCAATGACAGGGATCTCTGGTACCAGACAGCGTCAACTCAGCGGCATTTTCCCTTCCCCCATCTGCCCCATGTGCCGTTCCGTTGTGGCGGATGTTGCTGTCAGGCCTGTAGCCATGCGAGCCATGTAGCGAGTGGATGAGTTGGGGGAGGTTTGGGGTGGCGGAAGCGGGAGGGCGAAGCTCAGCCACTGTCGTCGTGAGGCCATCGCAGGGTCTTCTGTCCAGTCATTGCACTTCCCGAGCGCCGCCGGACTGGCTAGCAACTGGCTAGCACTGGCTAAGGCGAGGGCGAGGGCTGGGGCTGGACCGCAGCGACTGGCGGATTGACGACTCAACTGACTTGCTGAGCAAACACCCAACGGCCTACAATGCCTCGCTTGCCCTATTCTCTCCTGTGCAGTGCAGGATCCTGCGATGCCATGCGCTGTGCTATGCTGTGTTGCGCTGTGTTGCGCTGTGCCGATGCCATGCTGCTGCGCAAGTGAGACACTGACACATACACAGTCTGCTCTCCGACGGGAAGCGGGAGACCTCAGGCAGACCACGAGGCCGGAGGGAGCGTCGGGGCACGATGCTGACTTGTTGCTTTCCGAAGTCGTCTCCTTCTCAAGTCCCAGCTACCGGTCAAGAGGTGGTCAGAATAATACGGGATGGTCGGCAACGTCTAAGAGAGAGTGTGTGTGACTTGCGGTGAAGAAGGCACATCAGCCCGTATTACCATACCATCGCAGACACGGAAAAATCAACTACACCTTCCGAGTTGCCCTTTGCAGCTTACAGACATTTTCTTCAAGAAGTGAGTCACTCTGATCTCCTTCGATGACTACAAGTCAAATATTTCTCAATGCTGTAAATGAATGAATAAAGCAAGGCATGTGAACAGAATAACTTTGCACTTTTCAAGCTGTCGGTTCTGTGTTCTGTTGGGCTTCATTGCGTTGATGCCCCTCGATTTGATACTCCCCGTTCAATACGCCATATTACTAGTCTAAGCCAGACAGCAATTGCATCCTACTACAGCAAGCCTTCAACCTCATGGAAACTACAGCAAGAAATAGCTCTCTGCCACAGATGGAAGGCTTTCTTTGTTGGGAGAGAAGTTTGCCAAAGTTTGAGTGTGTTGTTGACGAGGTTGTCTACTAGAGGCCTCATGCATGATTTGTTTACAACACTCCCAGCCAAACTCTGGAGTTGCCAACAGCTTGACATAACTTCAAAGATTCTTAAGATTTGTGAAAATTTTTCAATTAGGTACTAGGCAACAAAGTGGGCGAAGCTGTCTTTTGTTTGTTCATCCCTATCGGATGGTTGGCTTTCGTCTCATCTCAACCATCGACGCGGTCTCGTTTCCCCCCTTCACTACCGCGACTCCGCCTCTCCCTCCCCAAACAAACCATCTCCCATTCTTTTCATTACTTGCCGTGAGAAATCTCGACTTCTGGCCGAGCCCTTTCTCACACTCATATTCTATCACCTTATTCGTCGTCGTCCCACAAGCTGCTGGGAGCTTGCGTAGCTTCACCCACCTCCGCGCCCCTTACCCATACCACCAACACGAAGCTGTGATAGTTCTTGCTTCTTTAGCACAAATCCCATCCTAGCTTATTTTCCTGCTCACCGCAACTTGCCCCTACGATTTGCCCATCAGCGGCGTACTAACCGACGACGACAACTTCACCATGTCGTCGCAGCCTACTGACCCGCCTATGGCGGCAGATACCCCTGCTCTGAACTCTGTTACCAGAGCTGCACAGCCTACTGAGGCTGCTCCAGTCGGCTCCATGGCTGAAGAGGTCACTGCTAGTGATGTCGTCCAGACCGGCGGAGAGAAGAGCGGTGACGCTGTTCCCAATATGGGCGACACTACTGATGCGACCACCAAGAAGAAGAAGAAGAGCAAGAAGTCCAAGGGCAAGTCCCTGGAGAAGCGCGGTGAGACCGCTTTGAACTACTACCGCGGAACCGGATTCGAGGGCACGTCGAGTACAGTCTCAGATTCACAGACTTTTGCTGATTCGAGGATACAGAGTATTACTGCGATCCACCCCTGACTGCCAATGAGCATTGGGAGGAGCAGAACAACATCTACACTACGTACGTCCCTCATACTCAGCCCCTTCCTCGCTACAGCTAGCTAACTCTTACAGCGATCGACCTTGCCGCGAGTATGCTCTCTTCGAACTGATGAGCTATCGCTTGCGATGCTAATGTTTCTTAGTCGTTTTCAGGAGGGCATCCAACGTTTCGGTGGTCGCCGTCGCATGAATAATGATCAACGCAACTACTTCTCCAAGTTTCTCATGCTGGGCGGCATCGACACCACCCAGCGTCAGTTCCAGGGTACCTCCAACATGCCGAAGGGCAAGAAGGACGACCCCGGCGAAGATGCTGATGAGGAGGACATTGTCCTCGATGCTGCTGAGCAACTGTCCAAAGAGGAGAAGAACCGTCTGGAGAAGGACGACGTCATCCGCGCTGAGGCGAACGACGTCATCTCTCTTGACCCCAACGTCACCCGCTTCTACAGCCCCGGTGCAGAGGGTTGGGTCGAGGGAGACTTCGAGGCTGTTGCAGCTGGTTTCTTGTACGTATTCCTACACATAGACCACGTCTGGACGGCAGGCTAAGTAACATCCTTTATAGGAGCAGCAAGTTCATGAACGATCTGTCCGCCCGAGAGGGTGCCGTTGACACCGCCATTGCGACCGTCATCAGCTTCTTGAAGTACCTCCTGCAGCACGACGTCTGCCCTGAGTACGAGGCGAACGTCAAGAAGGCCTGGGAGGTCTGCGAGCGTGCCAAGATCGAGCTGCCTATGTGCGCCGCTGTCATCCGCGAGGCGCCCGGTGATTTTAACACTGCTGCGCGCATTCTCTTCTGCACCGATCAGCAGCCGCACGACTGCACTGTGGATCCCGCCCATCCCATGGAGGCGTACCGCGAGAAGGACCCGAAGTACTGGGAGTTTCAGGATGCGATCCTCGTCCCCAAGAGCTTCAAGGCGATGTTCATCTTCAAGTCTACCATGGCTTTCTCCATTACCCACTTCATCGTGCCGTGGGACTACGAGGCCAAGGGTTACGCCATCAAGGACACCTACAACCAGGACTACGAGGTCGTCGATCCCAAGGATCATCAGAACGTCAGCGCCAACCCCGAGTTTCCCGGTGAGGGTGACGAGTTTATCCACTCTGCCCTCGACAAGGATCACAACCTCAAGCCCGTTGGCAAGATCTTCGTGAAGCCCTGCGTCATCGAGGACGGCTGGGACAACCGTCTGTCCCGAGCCGACGCCAGCGACAAGGTCGAGTTCTTCTTGCTCGAGGTCCACATTCTGCACCTTCTCACCATCGGCATGAAGCTTCGCTTGGTTGTCTGCGAGCTGGACTGCGGCTTCAAGTTCGTGAAGCAGGTTCTCGACGTCCTGCCGTCCTTCTACACCTTCCTCCCGCAGGAGCTGATGCTCCAGTACAAGGAGCCGAAGCTCAACGAGCGCCCTGCTCCCTCTGTCGATGACCCCGATGTCGAGGATCGTGCTCTCGAGAACGCGGCTTGCACCGATGCCAGAGAGTAGAGGGGCCTCACTAGGCCCTTCGATCTGCCATCTTGGCTGAACATGTCTTCTGCGAACTTTTCTTTCTTTGAAACTCGCTGTTGTTGTTTATCTGCGGCACTCGTCTACATTAGGCACAGGGGCCTGGCGTTTTCGGACGAAGGAAAGGTTAGATACCCCAAGGGTCAAGGGGTTCATGCAAGCATGTAGTTCGGACAAGCTCGTCACAAAGGCTTGAGATAGAACTCCATAGCTCTCTCATAATGATTGCGCACTCACATCTGAAAGACACATGACTGAAAAGTGACATGTCAGCTAGAAGTAAATTTGTAGCAAAGCAGTGTGGGTGCCATCTTGAATCTGATATCAGACGGGAAGGCCGAAGTACATGTATTTGTGGTCACGAAGGCTACCTTGGTCCCTACCGCTCTAGCCTGCTGAGTGACGCAGTACCTAGGTACTGTAAGCAGCTACCAACCCCACTACCGCAAGTACTGGTCACCCCTAGCTCTCCCCCACGCCAGTCTAAAACTCAGCCTCGCATGAAAATACAGCAAGGCTGAGCTTCTCCGATCCTCTTTGTGCCTCTCACAACCCAATGTTGCATCTTGGTCTGCCAGCAAGATGTCAATTCCAGGTCTAGGGCAGATACCCTCAAAGGTACGCATCTGCTATTTAGCTACCGCGCCTCAGGTATTCACCCAAAGCTAATCATGGCGATATATAGCCCACAACAGCCGCGATCCGCAAACATGTCCTCCAGCCGCTATGGGAGTGGCGCTTCGAGGTCTCGCACGGCTCCTCCATCACCGTGCGCCTCGTCTCCGGCACCGCGGAGCGCGACGGCACCGAGCTGGCCCTCAACGTCCCCTACCGCTTCACCGGCGCCAAGTCGAAGCTGCTGACGTGGCGCGGCGCCGAGATCGAGGTCGAGGGCGACGACTGCGACGAGTACGTCGCCGAGCACACGCCCGCCGAGACGCCGATGACGAGCTACCTCAACCTGCACTTCCTGCTGCAGAGCCAGCGGGGCCAGGCGCGGGTCTCGGGCGCCCACCAGGGCCCGCGCGTGCTGGTGTGCGGCCCGGCGACGAGCGGCAAGACCAGCCTCGTGCGCATGCTCACCGCGCTGGCGACCCGCGTGGGCGAGCACCCGATGGCGGTGAACACGGATCCCAGCGAGGGCATGCTGTCGCTGCCGGGGACGCTCAGCGCGGGCGTGTTTGCTACGATCATGGACATTGAGGGCGAGGGCGGCGGCTGGGGAGGCGCGCCGAGCAGCGGACCTGCCGCTGTGCCGGTGAAGCTGCCGGTTGTGTTCTGCTACGGGCGAGAAAAGATTGAGGAGGACGTGTCCCTATACAAGAGCTTGATATCGCGGCTTGCAGGCGCTGCCACCGCGCGCATGGCGGAGGACCCAGCCGTTCGCAGCGCAGGAATGATCATTGATACACCGGGTGTCAACATGAGCGGCAAGAGCGGCCCGGAGGTGCTGGCGCACATCGTGGAGGAGTTCTCGGTCAATATTGTCATTGTGCTTGGCTCTGCGCGGATGAATGCTGAGCTTCTGCGGCGGTTTGGCAAAGAAAAGACCAGTCTCGGTGAGCCCATCAGCGTAGTGATGCTGGACAAGTCTGAGGGGGTGGTGGAGAGGGACGAGCTGTTCATGCAGCTGTTGCAAGAGGCTGCTGTCAAGGAGTACTTCTTCGGAGACGCCAAGAGGACTCTCAGTCCGTTCACACAGCAGGTTGATTTTGACGGTGTTTTCATATACAAGGCGCCGGAGCGTAAGTTGCCACTGACTACTATTCTCTCTCAAACCTGCTAATGATTGGCCTAGCCAATGCGTATCTCTCCGAGGATGAGACCCTGGAGCGGGTTGATCCTTCGCCTTCCATGCAACATTGGACTCTAGCTGTCATGAATGCTTCTGTCCACGACCCTCCGGAGGTTATACAGTCGGCGACCGTCATGGGATTTGTCTATGTGGCGGATGTGGATAAGGACAGGAGGAAATTGAAAGTGCTCGCTCCTGTTAGTGCGAGGTTGGGCGATCGGCCACTACTATGGGGCAGGTGGCCAGAGCCGTACATTAACCTATTGGGTTAGAGCAATGCAATCAATGATACGGAGTTCAGGCGTAACGGTCTTGTCTCATAGACAAAAGCAGGAGTTTATAGGGAGGCCCGAGGCAGAGCTAGCACAAGCAATCGAGTTCATTATACAATTATGCAAGGACTAAATCCAATGTGCTGAGTGATCTTGGATCATTTTCGCCTATACTATGTATATCTTAGATCCTATATATGCAAGGGCAAGACAAGCAGGGTCCTCCCAGCTGTAAGTGGGCGGGAACGAGAGCCGAAAGAAGCAACATAACATGAGTGGGACTTCCTCCTTGCTGTTTTGCTCCAGACGATCCAAATCCGCCATTCTTGAGATCACAAACGTGCACACGCCTACCGTTGTCACAGTTCGAAGTGTATACTTGTAGGGCATCCATCCTCCTGGTTATTGTCTTATAGATGCCGCCAAGTAGGCGTGTGTATCTCTACCTGGACCATTAAAGTTTCAGAGAGCACAAGATAGACCCGATGCAGCATCCGGAGTAATAGCCTTGCATAAAACTCGAAGACGTCCGCTTTGTCTCTTTACTTGTTTCTCCTGTACTATTTCGCCAGTGGCTTTGATACCACAACAAGAAGTGGCGCTCTTATCTTCCGAATGTGCGAGGATTTTCATTGCTTCGTCATCACATCCCTCTTTCCTCATTCATGCCTTGACTTTGACCACCACCTTTCCGAAATGCGAGGCGGCAAACAAATACTTGATCGCCTCCTTAGCCTCCTCGAACGGAAATATCCTATCCACAATAGGATGGATCTCATGCTCCTGGTAAAACTCAAGCACTTGCTCGAGCCGGTCCTTCGGGCCGTTAAGTATGCCTTTGATCGTCACGTTCTTGACGATAGCCAACGCGTTGATGTTGGTCCGGTCAGAAAGGTCGTTCTCCTTGCCCGACAAGCAGCCAATGGAGCTAATCAGTCCGCCCCAAGCGACGCATTCGAATGACTTGCGTGTGGTCTTTGCTCCGCAGTTCTCGAAGATGATATCCGCGCCAACGCCGTCTGTAAGCCTCAAAACTTCTTCTTGCCACTCTGGACTTGTAAGCCAGTTAATGGTATAGGTGGCGCCGAGGGCTTTGGCACGCTGAAGCTTGTCATCCGAGGAGGAGGTAATTATTGCTGTGTTACACACTCCGTCAACGAAGTTCCTGCTTGAGACTTAGACGTGCCTAGATAAACTCACTTGTTGAGCCACTGGCCTGAGCAATTTGCAGCCCAGCTATACTCACGCCGCCTGTTCCTTGCAGTAACACGACTTCACCTTTCCCCCCAGGCTGGTCAAAGGGCCGCATCCCATTGATACTCATCCACGCCGTAATACACGCAACAGGAAGGGTGCAGGCCTCTTCGTCTGTAAGGTAGTCCGGCGCCTTGACTAAACCGGTTGTAGGAAAAACACGATGAGTCTGCATCACGCCGTCAAGGGGGAAGCCTAAACCATGAGCCAGGTGATGCGCCCGGATCTGGCCTGTGAGAAATGTCTGAATAGAGACCGATAGCACGCGGTCCCCGACTTTCCACGTGGAACATCCCTCGCCGACCTCGATGATCGTACCGCACATGTCGGAGCAAGGGACCAAGGAAATCGCTTCAGAGGGCAGAGACTTATGATGATTATACAAACCCATGCAAACTACAAAAGAATTAGGAGTAAGGAATCGCCGTTGAAAGGACTAATCTAACCTTCGGGGTCTCTGTAATTGAGACTTACTGCATGAATCTCCACTAGGACTTCGTCTCTTCCTGGCTTGGGCATCGGAGTTGTCGTCATGAAAACGTTGTCTAATCCGTCCTGCAATGTCTTCCATTGCTGGATCTCCATGGCGGTCACATCAAGACTACTGATTTTTGTTCCATATTAGCGATAATGCCTGCGCGAGAACTTTACAAGCTCTCAGAAAGTGTGCTGCTACTTTTATCAGCCTTTCTGACGTGGTGGTGCTGGTGGATTCTCACTATATACTTGAACAATGAGTTCTCGAAATGACGGAGTTTATCTCACTAACTAAGGAGAAATCAAGATTGCCCGTCCGTAGGAGTCCTTGCATGGGGCGCATGCCGTTAGGTTATGTAGCCACGGACAAAAATGTAATCCTGGTTGGCCACTCGCTGGATCCTTTCGTCTCTTGCTGCATAAGTAAGGCACATTCCCTTCATCCCGTTTGGCTTACGAGATTCCATGTCTGGCACCTTTTTGCGATAAGAAGAAAGCTCGATAGAAAGCAGGCAATCCTTCAGTGCCTAAGCTGAATAATAGTAATAACCGACGATCTTATTTCATTTTACTTCTTTGATATCACCAGAACCAAACTTCTGAATAATGAATGTTGACCTCACCACAAGATTTGGCACTTTCTACACGATCTATAATCAGATCATTGCAATACTGTTATAATCTGATATTCCAGTTGATAATGTCCTCGCTAAATATTGGTAGCCTAAAGTAATTACTTTTAAAATACTTTTACTTTACTTTTAAAATACTATTACCTTATTATCTTAGCCTAGATATTATCTTAAGAATCTCATATTATTCTCTAATAACCTCTTATAATCTAGTAGCTTATAACTACTATCTTAGCTTAAATTTAAGTCTATTTTAAGGTCTTAGTTGGTCATCCCGAATGTCCGCAATCGCGCCGCCATCAAACCAATTGGGGCAATTGAACTGCGACAAAACACACAGCTCAGATTATGGAGACTACCAACCAAGTATAATGAGATTCAAATGAGATGTGGCTACTCCAAGGAATGTTTATTTGATCCACGCCTATCACGTAGTGCTCTGTGCGTGAATTCAGCTACTTTAGGTACTGGACTTGATAATAGAAGCTCCGTGTTCCGCGACACCGTATACAGCTGCCTGGGGATTTGCCCGTGGTATCAGAGGAATGATGCTAGAGTCGCAGATACGCAGATTCTCTGTGCCGTACACTCGGAGTTCCGGATCCACAACACCACCCATCTCGCGAGGCATCATTGAACAAGTACCGACGAAGTGGTTTGACCCAAAGCCAAGCTTCTTCGCGTACTCTTTAGCCTTGTCAGGATCTGAAAAGCCTCCATCGAGTGGCGCCAAAGGATTTCGTTTTCCGCCTGGCTTGAGCTGAGATGAAAGCGGCTCAGCTCCGACTATGGTTTCCAAGAAACGCAAGTTTCGCGTGAAGATTCCAATGTCAAGGGGGTGAGAGAGGTACTTTGGGTCGATGGTTACAGCCTCATGTGACGACGCAGATACAGAGTTGATGTGTGTCGAGCCTCGTGAGAGCGGGTGCGTGTTGAGGAGGCCAATGGTGAAGTACTTGCTGGATCCCTCTGCTGTAGCCATCGATCCGTTGGGATTAAATGCTCCCCAACCTGGAAAGAAAATATAGTAACCTGACGCCTCATCGGGAGAGGACAGTACGGAGCGCACAAAGTCTTTATTCGCCTGATCGAAAATCGCGCTCGACTTACTCCCTCCGACCTTGGCATCAAAGGTTTGGGCAATGATCTGCTCCAAGTCCTTTTTGCCTTCATCCGTTTGAATTCCGGGGAAGGGCAAATGTGCTGTAACAGAAGTCCCACTGGTTGCCAAAGGTCCGGCTCCCTTTCCGTAAGCCTCCATCGCAGCAGCAAGAGCAGCAGGCTCCTGACGAACGAGCGCATCTAGCGTCTGCGATCCATCTTTGACTTCGAAGCTCACGGAAACTGTGAGATGGTTTTGTAGGTTCTCACCGACGCCCGGGTTGTCTACAACCACATCAATGACCATCTCCCGCAGCAGCTCTGCTGACCCAATGCCAGAAAGCTCGAGCAGTCTGTGAGAATTGAAGGCACCGGCCGCGAGCACGACCTCTTTTCTGACAGCGACATTACTTCTTTCACCATCCTTTACGTACTGAACGCTCTCTGCTCTGGCTTTGGTGGGATCTGACCGATTCCAGTTGATCTTTTCAACTACTGCCTCAGTCAGAATAGCCAAGTTGCTTCGGTTGAGCACAGGTGATAAAAATGCACTCTGCGCATAGCTTCGTTTTTTGGTTCTCGGCTGGATGTTTTCAGGTGTGACAATGAGACCATTCCCTTTTCCCGTGAATATATCACTAGAAACTGAAATGCCAAGCCCGTTAAGAGTGTCTTTCCAAATGTTCAGCCACCCATTATTGGATTGGTCAGGAAAAGACACTGTGAGTGTACCAGTTGTGTCATTTTCCTCGGATGTGTCGTCAGTCAGCACATAGGCCTTACTCATCGATTGCGAGAATTTCGCCCACTCCCATCCAGGATTGCCCAAGCGTGCCCACCCTTCAACATTAGATTCAGGGACTGGTGTGAACATGAGCCCATTCATGGCAGTACTGCCGCCGAGAGCTCGACCCTGGGAAGACAGCAATTTGCGGCCACCAAGAGATTCCTGTGCTTGTTAGTGGAAATGTACAGATGTGACCTATTCATGTAAATGATAGCCATGGCTGCAGCATACCTGTGGGTTTGTGTTGAAGGCCCAGTCCGAAGTAGTCTTGATCAAAGCAGACCTATGACATTGAGAGTCAGTGATTCAGTGAGACTTGTACCCTCGTTGCCTGAACAGAAGTAGGACAAAGTTGAAGATCTCAGACTGTCTCGAAAGCAGCCTCGATATGACACCAATACTTCTCACGAGACTACGACAAAAGGCAAACATGGGCTTCAAAACTTTGCTTACCACATGCCGGGAATGTTGACTCGTGGATCATCCTTCTGATCAGCCCCGGCTTCTATGACCAGCACCTGAAGATTGGGATCTTCCGAGATGCGGTTCGCGAGTACAAGCCCAGCCGCTCCACCGCCAATGATGACGAAGTCGTAGCTATCAGACGCCATTGCTAGTAAAATGAGCGTTCTTGTGAGGCAAATTCTCTTGTGGCACTAGATTGGACCAATTCTCTCTGTTGCAATTAGCAATTGCTGAATAAGAGCAGTTCGTATGTGGAAAGTATCGACTCACTATCAATCGAAAGTTGAAGTCAATGGCTGATTCAGTCATTCAGGCTTCCGGTGAATGGGAATGATGGTCATCTTTAAATTAGACCAAATTTACGAATTTCATCGGGACGGCTCGTGCGGAATTTCCTGTGATTACATGGCCGTTGTCCTTTTCTGTTCAGAGGATTCTGAAAGGACTAAGCCGCACCTAATCGTTGGACTTTATATACAGGCACTTGAACAAAGCCTACATGACTCGAAAGCAGAATGCTGGAGGAATTTATGACGACTTTGAGTGATGATGCTGGACATGCCTGCCTAGCAATGTATTCCGCATTCCATTCCCTTCGACAGAATATGGGTCTATGGTAGAACAGTCTTCTGCTATAGACATGACGAATATATCATCATCCACCTACTACTTGAAGGCGCTACATAGCAAACCAAGCATGCTTTAGAATATCTTCTGTTGAAGGTCGCTGATCTGGGTCAATCTGAAGGAGCCAGGCTAGCAAATCCAGAATTTGTTTTGTCTCAACTTCTCCGATGGCATCTGGCTTCCAATCTCTAAATTGTTTTCCAATTGAATCGAATCTTTCCGGAGTTGCTAGCGAAATGCTTTCATCAGAGCGAGGTGTGCTTGAATCGTGGAGTTCGCCATCAGTGTCTTCATCGTCAACGTTATCCAGAATGTCAAGTCGATGGCCATCTGGAGCAAAGTACCTATTGTATCGTCGCCAGTGACTCGACATGTGCTCCGGCAGGTGCCCAATGACGTCGGAGATCTGACATAGATGCTCATCATTGATTTGTTCATCGTATCTGTCTCCCTCAAGTGCTTCTATACGAACAAATAGTTGTTGGCCTGTGAGTAGCTCAAAAACAAGACACCCAAAGGTCCAAATGTCAATTGCCTTTCCAAATGGAAGGCCTAGAATAGTTTCAGGAGCCCTCAGAGCTGTAGGGGTAACTGTCTTTTCGGGAGGATCGTGTACAGAGAATGCTGAACAGTGTTAGTGTTCTTGCAACAGAATTCACTTTCAAAGTTTGAAAGAAACTCACCTGCACCAAGATCGGTTATCTTTGCCAAAGGTTCTAGGTCTGCAGAGGTGTAGTCATATAATGGATCGGGCTGGAGAAGGTACGGAGGGGCCCATAGATCTGCTTTACCATCTAACCGGTCTAGCGAGGATCCTTGACTTGGCCATGTTTCCAGATCCTGAATCATTTTATCGTCTGCTTCTAGAGGTCGGATGGCCACAAGAATATTGCCTGGATGCAAGTCTCCGTGCACGACATCATTACTATGGAGAAAGTCCAACCCGTAAAGAGTGTCTCGTAAGAGTCGCTTCGCATATTGCGGCGTAAAACGTCGTTCCCAAGGTTCTCCTATCTGGAAATCAGGGCACCGCTTTAGCATTGTATTAAGGTTTGGACCCATTAGTTCGAAGACCCAGCAGGAGTGTTGTCCGTTGGGCCCAGCGTGATGGAAAAAGTCACGTAAATGTACAAAGTGTCGAGCACCATCGACTTGGTCGTCGTGGTGATTCAGGCGTCCGTAAAGTGCGACCTCTTTCTCGATACATACTGGGTCTATACTTGCAATAGCAATCTTCAATGCTGCAAAGCAGGACATTCTAATGATTTCCAGTTAGCTTGACAAGGTTCATAATTCAAGAAAATCAACGTTGAATATCCAAGACGGCTTACTGGAGATCGACAACAAGCCACACTGTCGAGTATGCGCCATAGCCAATCTTGCGGATCACAAGGTATCGGCCATTGCAGAAATTGTCGCCTAACTTTACGGGGTGATAGCCACCCGGGTGATAAGACTCTCCCCACTCACAAGCAGTGCCGTTTGTACGGAAACGATAGTCAGCGGCGTCGCGAGGATCTTCAAACCCCGGCGTTTGCGGCGCCGAAGTCATACCGATTGAAGGAGTGGAGAAATGAGTTGGCACAGGCTGTCACCCCAGTTGATACAAGCAAGAGATAAACCAAAAGGAATCGAAGCTACAAAGCACTTGTGTCAGACTTTCTTGAGGTGTCAATACTGCGCGTCGCGCTGGAATTTCCCGTGCTGTAGATGCTTGGTTGTCCTTGGTTATAAGTTGGTGATTGGAAATTAAGCGCCGAAGTTCAACTTGACAAGACAGGAGATGTGGTTTGTGTGGTACTATAAATAATCAAAAAATTGCACCGCCGGTAGGCGCCGCGCGAGCCCCACCTATGGGACCAGCCCCACTTCTCCCCAGGTGCGCTGAGCGGCTACTGTTCGAAGCCAAAGTCAAGTTATGTCTCAGATATTATTGCCCACACGCATTCATCAAACCAGCCACCCCGATTCATGCTGATTATACGGTTGGCCAGCTCAGTGACATGTCGTTGGACTGTTAGTTCTAGAATAGAGCAACATTATGTGAGGCGAGGCCAGATTGGCAAGCAGAAGGAAGCTACTGCTTGAACATCAAGCCCTCGACCTATGCGGCCTCTCCTCAAGCGCTCCCCCTCGCCCAATGATAGATATTCTTTCACAACAGCCCCAGAGCGGCTGCTACCAACATACCAAGTAAGGGGCAATGTCATAAAACCGCCGCGTTCACCAACATCAAGTTGGCAAGTTGACTCTTGAACGTAACTTGTAAATCACGGCCTAGCCGTGGGTTACCGGGTGTTGGCCTGAATGGCACAGCTTGTTTTATGGCTGGTCCTTACCTAGGCCGGCGGCTCCAAGAAATCAAAGCTTCATATGCGACATTTGATTTCAGCGGCACTACAATCACATAAATCGAGGTGATATTCGAAGATAAAAGGGAAGCTTGCACCCAAGTTATCAGTGAATGCTTTGCAGTGGTATCAATCATCAGTATCTCTAGAATTCCATCGACTAGCCTTTCACAAGCGTTCACTTTCACGCGTCATCTCTTTCTATATCTTGACAACTTGAGTGGTCTCGAAACCTGCCAATATTCCTACAGCATGGTTGTCACGCGAAGCCGAATTCGGTTCAACTCGAGACAGGTTCCAGCAGATGCTAATTACCAATCCTATCTCAAGGATCTAGTCGAATTCTTTGCAGAAGATGATCCAAATAATCATAACCTAGCCAACTGCGTGGCGGCTATAGTGCAGTAAGTGTTGTTTCTGTTCCCTTCCGACACAAACCTGCTTGAGTTATGATGCTTACATAGTTGATAGAACGGCGGGGCATACATCTAGGAGGGACCATAGATGCCACATTACGGTAGACTTCTTCAACCTGGGCCGAGATGGAAGCGCCGAGTTTCATATAACGGAACATGTTCCGGCATTGAGTTACCGGGGTTGGAGGCGAAGCAATCGTTCCCGGTAAAAGACGCCTATGCTTATTGCATTGGAATTATACGTGGTGTTTCCCAATTGGGAGATGATGGCGCCGGATGTTTGACAGTAGCTACAAGCTTATGCGTCATTTATTTTGGTCATAGCTCGGTGTTGCCATTGGAATATATATTACAATAAATAATCAAGGATGATAACAGCTCCAGTATCTCAGCAATAGTTCATCCAGCATGAACTAACATATCAAGGACTTTTCTCGTTTGCTTCAATTACTCACACGTGGGAACTTTCTATTATCAAAAGTTATCCATACCATGTTATTATGCACTTTATTAAACATTGAATATCTTCTTGAGTATCCCTAGGTGTAGAGTGTGGGTCCACCAGTTTCAGCCAATCATATCACATCATTTAACTCTATTTCTGATTTATTTCTAAAAGCTTTATTCTTCAAGTAAATACTATGAAAAGTATATCACTTTAATCCTTATTTTTAGCTTTATTTTATACTATTTTTATCTATAAATTAATTAACTATTACTAAAGTTAAAATTTATAATATAAATTATATTTCTGGCCCTAGGCACTAGCCTTAAACTGCCTTACTATTGTAGACTTCATACTGTGGAACGGCATTTATTACTAGGTAAGGTAGTGTATATCTAACAAGACTAATAAGTAGTAGTAACTCTAAAGGATATATATAATTCTCTAGAACCCTATAGCAATTTACTCCTAACCACTCTAAAAAGCCAGCTATCGTCAATTATATGCTTGTGATGCTGTATGTACATATATATGTATATATATATGAGTTAGGGAAAAGTAACTTGCTCGATAAGCGAGAAGAGATTACTGAAAAAGAAAGATTGATTGTACTGATAGGCCTATAGCCCTCTATCTCTATCCACTCCTAAAGCTGTCTTATTACTGAAACAGGGCAGCAGTACCTACTACTAACCAACACCCTCTCAAGATATCATATAACACCCACACAAACGAAGCCT